GAATCATATTTTTGTTACCTTAGAATGATCCGTTTTTATCTACAGAGACCACGGGTCATTTTTATTTTATTTTTTTAAATATTTTTGCCTTTAATCGATAGTGACAGCCGCAGAATGACAGGACAGGGGCGAGGGAGAGCGAATGACACACAGCAAAGGGCCACAGGACACATTTAAACCCTGATCCACTGCAGCAAGGACTCAGGCTTGGTACATGGGGCACCAGCTCTACCAGGTGAGCTATATGGACGCCCAGAGTCCGCCATTTTAAACCACAATGTTTCTTCAGTAGCCCAGATGAGTCAAACCTACCACACGTTTTACAGCCACCATAGTTTCTCCTCCTTCGGGCTTGGAAGGGGAGGGTGAAGAGAGGGAGTTGTAATCTGCAACTACATCACTAGATGCCACTAAATTCAGTTCAGATAGTTCAATTTTATGAAACAAATATTGTAACAATATCTACTTTTATCTCACAAATAACTCAATAAATCAAATGAACACACGTGTAACTGGTGTAGGGTAACCTGAGTTCATCTGATGGGGCTGTACATGTGGAAAACAAGGTTGGGAACTACTGACTTGAGATTTTCCAACAGGAAACAAATCTTTTTATGTTTTTGTAGCTGGGTTATAAACACTGTATGTTATTACAGTTGATAAGGAGCCATCTCTGCCTCTCAGACTGCTCACTCATTAAAATGTCACTCACACACAGACAGGTGCAGTCTTGCTCTCTCTTTTGTCCTCTGATTTCTGTTACAGAATTAAGCCAGGTACCCATAGGAAATTCACTGAAGCATAGCATAACACACTTTTTGAGTTTTAACATTTGGCGATGCTCCAGTGGTTTTACAATAGCATGACTTGAACATAATGTTGATTATATTCTACTTTGAAACTCTGAAAGTTCATGTCCTTGAAGCTTTTGAATAGCAAGGCGAAGTCTGAATCCCTTTTTTCTGGCACAAAAACAATACAGACGTGATTAAGTGTATGGCTGAAATTGTCCTCGTAAAATTAAGTGGTCTTTGAGCAGCTCCAGCCACTTAATCACAGGAGAAAAGGTCTATTTAAATAGAGGAACACATACCAGACTGACACTCTTCTGCAGGGTCAATGACTGACCTCTTGGCTTCGGATTTTTATTAAGAACTGTAGCTGTGGGAAAAAAGTCTGAAATCAGGCTTGTTCAGCCCTTGCTGAACATTATGGAGGAATTTCTTGGCTTTGTGGAAGTAAGAACACTCCCACACCACTAAATACACCTGCAGAAAATCCCTCGACCTGTTTAACATATACCTTCTCAAACAACCTCTTACTGTAAATCTAGTTCCTGGAAAGTGAAGTGATACTGGCAAAGGAAGATGTCTAGAAAGTAACTGACAAACTGGCATCCTGTTTCACTGTGAACACAAGCCAGAATGACAACTAACGTGTTGCAGTTAAAAGGACATTTAAGATACAACGCTGCCAAAACAAACAGCCCGACTTCTCCTCATCTTGAAATGGTTTTTTAGAGAGGCCTGCATGTATTACAATACAGCACTAAGTTTATTATCTAAATGACTCAATTGAATTGAGGATTTTGATGTATCCTATTCCTTTTTTAGTCTTGAACAGCTTTCAGTCAGACAATTGCATGGTACTGAGTTATACAAGGGAGGGTTCAGTTTATTCCTTGGCCCGGTGGAACAGGATTAGGAGGCTTTTGGTTTTAGTGAAGCTGCAACCTCTATACAAGGTCAGCTGTACCAATTGTATGCGCGTGCGTATGTGTGTGTTTGGGGATTTGCCCCAAGTATGTATGCCTAGGGGGCCTATCCAGGGCTCTGTCTAGAATGAGTGAATGAAGTCATCTGTCATGAGAAAGGAGATTGAGGGGGGTGTTGTGTGTCTGTCCCAAAAAGGAGAGGGAAGGGCTTTCACTTATCAAAAAAAAAAAAGAAATCTGTGTTGATGAGCTTTTAAGGAGTGGTATCCTGGTCAAGATAATGGCACAAGTATACGAGTGTGAAGCAAGAGGGGCTAAAAGGCTGGAGTGCTACGATATCGATACAGGGGAGAAGCCCAACAGTTTGAGTATCTGAGATGCCATGTGCAATAGGAGCCACATATGTGGCGCTTTTGAGAGATCAAGTCAAGTCTCTGGTTTAGTGCCAGATGTTTTTAAGTTTTGGATCGTGATCGTGGAAAGAAAATGGGACACGTGGAGGTGACAAATGGCAGCACTGAAAACAACTCTTCAGGGATGTCACAAGGGCACAGTGTTCAGTTAAAAGCCACTTTTGAACTAAGTGTCCCTGCGTTTTACAACATGAACATTCACACAGCCCTGCTTTGAAGAACACTTGTCTTGAGTGTCCATTGGTTGATGAGGCGTCTTTGCTGTTTCAGTCTGATCTCAAACACATTTCTCCAATTATAGATTAATCTCTTTGTTTTGGTCAAAACTATATCAAGAGAATCTCTATGAAAATTACACAGATGGATACATTTGCACACCAATACACAGAGAATACAAAGTACACATTAACATCTTCACTGGGACTAGACTCTGGTCATCTGAAAGTGATTAGCCTCCCCTCTGAAGGGTTCCCCTTGTACAGTCCGGCTCCCAGGATCCAAAC